CCTTTTGGCAAAGGAGCTACCACATTCTGCCAACTGTGGCTGTTGGTGCTGGGTGTTAGGCCGGGCCGACTAGAGAAACAAATTCATTGATACTCATATGTGTGTGAGAGAGAGCTTTAGATCAAGGAGTCATTATGCATCAATAAAACATCCCAGCCCAGTCCAGATCAAGTCCATAAGTCTGATTGTAGGCCATGAATTCCTCCTCAGACTCACGCAGCACATGCAATGATGCCCAATGCAGGAAGATCACAGGCCAGTGCGTGGACAGTCTTGTGGGTCCAGTGGCAGTGGAAGCATCTCCAGGGCTCTGGTTGCCATCAGCGTGGCTCCATGTGGCTTGTCAACAGGAAGGTGAAGCAGGGAGAGAGTGCGGCCCACCTCCAGGGAGGAAGAGAGGAAGTTCCTAGAATCCTCCTGAGAAGGCCATGCCCACCAGGAGGGATCGCCAGGCTGTGACTGATGGGCAGGCTAGACTCCACCCCTTCCTTCTTACTTAACAAGTTGACATAGCATTGTGGGACTGCCACGGTGCTGAAAGGAAGGAGCGGAAGGCAAGGACCACAACTGGCTACCAAGGTAACGCAGCCCACAGCCAGCCAGGTTGCAAGCCATCTGGCGAATCTTGAAGGGGGATCCCCAGGTGCCCCCAGCATGGTGCCTCCATGTATTTCCACGTGTCAGAGTGATGGCAGGTCAGCCGGCCACATGTGGCCGTAGCTGCTCCACAAGCCCTGGACTCACCAGGTCTGCCCACACCCTCTCTGAGCAGTTGCTGTGTGTGGGAGGGGGTTGGTCGTGGAGTGGAATGACAGCTTTCCGCCAGGTGGGCTGCTCATGAGTCAGGGGGAAAGGCCCGGCACTAGTGAAGTCCCCCATCCTTCCCTGAGTATGAGAGTACAGCTGAGGGCAATACCATTCCCACCCCATCCCACACACGCAGCGTCTCCCACATCACAGCATACACACCAGACGACACACACAAATAGGAAACATAACACCAGATATCACCCACCCTATGACACGCCTACACCACCCGTACACACACACACACACACACACACACACACCA